GTGTGCTGGATGGGCTCGGCGAGGTTTCGCCACGTTGCCGCCCGTGGCCGCATCGTTGCCGCTTCGTGCGCTGCGTGGGTCTGGCGGGGTCTCGTCACGTTGCCGCCCGTCAACCCCTCCAGTTGCACCACGTACATTCCCCTTTCCAAACGAAAGCCCCTCCCTTTGGGGGTTATGGACCCCTCCCTGGCCCTCTTCAAATTTCATAAGATTCTGCCTCATCGATCATTTTCCGTACGAGCTCAAACCATTTCAGCCAAACAGGCATCGTCCCGACTCTCATCTTGGTCGCGTAAATTCATCCTCGCGAACTCCGTCACATTAAACACGTGCTGCAAATTGTTATTTCAAAGACACAAGTTCCACACGGTCGCGCACATGTCGACATACCAAACACTAACTAGGCAAACATGTTACAAACCCCCGGCGTCGCCCCCCTCATCCTTCTCAGAGAAGCCTCTGCGAGCACACTCCTTTATCTTAAGTCATAGTTCCCAAATGCCACTAAAAAGATCAACTGCAACAAGTGCGCACGCGCGCACATGTTGAAACCATCCCATGGACACCTGATTTGCAACACATGAACACATTCCGAACACTGTTGGGGTTTTTCCCCCAAAACAAAAATTGCTTATTAATGGCCCGCGCGCGTTTGCTGCAAACGTAAGGCACCACATAAATTGGACCAACACTCGCATTATCATCCCACCACGCGGTGCACATCCGCGTTGATCTAGCATCAATACGAAATAATATAATACGGGCCGAATGTGCGCGCCGCCAGACGCGTGTGCAAAAACCCTGTCCAGAACCATGTTTCACGAAACATCTCGAAATAGAGCTCTTCAAAAACACGAAAAATACAGTCACTTCAGTCAACCGGAAGTTTGCAAATTTCTTGAATGTCCGCGCGCGCGCACTTCCTGACAATCACCCTCGCCAACGCCACGGCATCACCCCCCTTATCGAAATCGCCAAGCGCCGTCCTTGCCACCATCACACACCAATCCGCTTCTGCACCGACAAATGGGCATAATCATCGTCATCGTCGTCACCAGCATTGCCGCCGGGCTCGTCACCATCGCCACTACCATCGCTACTACCATCATCGTTGTCGCCACTGTCGCCGTTATCATGATACCGCGCCCGCCCGACTCACAGACTCGCATTGAAGTGCCCGCGCGCCGGCGCGGCCTTCTTTATGCGCGATGGGAAGTTTCCACTGGTAAGCGCCGTCGGAGGCGCGTCGGTTGTGCCAACTCAGCTGGCCGCTCTGCGCGCGAGGTTGCTCGCGCCAGCACGGCTGCAGAGATGCGCCATCCAGCACCAAGTAGTCACCGCATTCGCGGCCGCATGGGTGTGCAAAACACGTTGCGGATGGGAGGGTGGAATGATTGCGCGAGCAGTGGAATTGATGACTTCCAGTTCTGCCATGTGGACTGGACTGCACCACATAGCTTAAACCACATGGTTTGCATCATACCGCTCGCACATAAACAATGCAATAACTGACTGTTTGGGGTCCACGCTGGCTAACACACACGTGCCAACGACCCCGCAATTGCGGATGAGTTTTGTTGAGTGGCTGGGTCATCGGCAATCTACGAGGCCCTGACGGAGCCCGCTGCAAGAGCGGTTTTCTACATGTCACACACCGGGCGCGTCGCAAGCGCCGAATTGTCATTCAAACAATGTGGGTGGGTCGCAAAGGGTCGCGGGGTGGGTCGCGGGGTGGGTCGCGGGTGGGTCGCGGGTTTGTCACGGGCGGGTCGCGGGCGAGGCGGAAGACAACACAAACAGTAAGATTCAGATTGTTCGTTCGTTTTGGCTCGCGGGAAATCCAACACGTATATCCCGAACGCTTGATACCTGCCCTGTTCGTCGTCGATCGTACCCCCTTTTGGAGTTATCTTCTTTACCTTCTACGTGTAGTTGGCGCAACCCCTAAAACAGGGGAGAGCAGGGAGGAGGGAAAAGACGAGGTGGAGGGAGAAGGATGGATCACGAGAGATTTGCAAGAGGGGAGATAGGAGCTGGAATACAAGCGGCTAAACCAAACAAGCGGGTCGGACAGGCGGACCCTAACGGGCAAGTCGGGCGGGCGGGCCCAATCGAGCGGGCGGGTCACTGAAGCGTCAACCCAACATGAACCGCAAAGACATGTCCAACGACAACACGATTCCAAAGTAAACCGTGTGGACATCGAAAGCGAGAGCATGCTCCTGAATATTTGGGGCACGGCGCGGCGATCTATCGGGAGGAAATACAACGCGAGAGCACGCATTCTGAATAAAGTATGGGGAAGGCCCTCGCGAAAGCAGGATTCCCTAATCACTTATGAGGAAGTATCAGGTTGTTGTCGTTGATGTTATCGTTGTTCTTATCGTTGTTGGTGGTGTCGTTAGTGTTGTTGTTGCTGCTGTTGTTGGTGGTAATGGTGGGGTTGGTGGTTTCGTTGTTGTTGTTGTTGTCGGTGGTCGTGGTGCTGTTGTTGCTGTAGACCGGGGGCAACCTCCCAGTGTGCTGACACCACAATTCCCCTGTGTGTTGTTGAATAAAGGGATAGAGCCCTGGCCAGGAGGGGTACCTCGATTGAAACAATACAATGGTCACCAGGCGGGGTGGGGGGATCGAGAACATTCAGTTTGCAAAAATGAAAACTCATCAACAACAGCAACACACGATTTAGATACAACTCGCTCTTATTCGCGCGCGCGTCACCAACCAAGTATAACCCAAACCCTACATACACGCCCTCTTCGTCTTCGACCGTACCCATTTGGGTGCATAACTTCGTTACCTGCCACGTGTAGTTGGAGCAGCCCCCTAAAACAAGAAGGGGGGATGAAAGAAAGGGACAGCGGGGAGGAAAGGACTGGGGGAAGGGAGGGAGGAGGGGAAGGGCAAGGAAGAAAAGAGGAACATGGAGGACGAAGGAGATGAACAAGGGGGTAAGAGAGGATAAGAAAAACAAGCGGACGAACCAGACAGACAGGTCGTGCGGCGGACCCTACGGGGCGGGTCGGGCTGGCGAGGCGGGCGGGCCCTAACGAACGGGTCGGATAGAGGACCCTCGCGAGTGGGTCGGGCGGGCGGTGGCTTAAATCGGAGAGAGCGCGTTTCAGGGGAACTTGAGTTGGCAACATTCGGCGGCGCGTTTCGAACCGGGTGGTGGACCCCCCCCAACACTCGGCGCCGTCGATCACAACCGGGGGGGCTCCCCTCCCCCCCCAAACCCCCCCCCTCCCGAACCCCCCCCCGCCCTCCCAAGGGGGGGTGGTGGAACACCACCCCACTTTGGGCTGCCTCTGGTCATCGTCGCTGCGTCCCCGCCGTCGGCGCTGGCGGCGGGCAGCAGCGCCGGCGCCGGCGACGGCGGGGACGCAACGACGATTACCACCACTACTTCCACCACCACTACCACCACCACCACCTCAATCCACCACCACCACCAACCCACCATACAGCCACCACCACCACCACAGCCACCACCACCACCACAACCACCACCACCAACACCTACCACCACCACAGAAACCCAGCACCACTACCACCACCACCACAACAATCTACCACACCACCACCACCACCGCCACAACCACCACCACTACCAGCAGCACAACCCACCACCACCACCACAAACCACCACACCACCACAACCACCACCGCAACCACCACCACCACTACTAGCAGCGCAGCCCACCACCAGCACCACCACCACAAACCGCCACACACTTCTACCACCACCGCCCCCACCACCACCACCAGCACCATCTCCACAAACCACCGCCACCACCACAACCCACCACCACCACCACCACCACCACACCACCACCGAACCACCACTACAATCCACTACCATCTCCACCAAAAACCACCACACCACCATCACCACCATCACCACCCGCCACAACAACAAACCACCACCACAACAAACCACCACACCACCACCACCACAACCACCACCACCGCCACCACCACCACCACAATCCACCACCACCACCACCACCACCACCACCGCCACCACCACCACCACTACCGTCGTCCTCGTCGACGTTCCCCGCCGCCGCCGCCCGCCGCCACAGGCGCTGGCGCGGGCCCAGAAAAAGGTAGTCGTCGTCCCCGCCGCCGCCGCCAGCCGCCGCCGACGCAGGCGCCGGCCCCAGGAGAGGGAGAAAGGACAAGTAGGGGAGGAGGGGGCGGGTTGTCCGGTTCCAATCCCCCCCCACCAAGCGACCACAGAACGCGCTCTTTTCTGAACTCGGGCGGGCGAGCTGTAAAGCGAGCGAACGGGCGGGCTGTAACAGGCGTGTCGGGCGGGCGGAACTGGCGGGCGGAGCATTAAAGCGTGAGCCCTGAATGAATCGCGAGGAGATCGCAGGAGCGTGGTTTCTGAGTAAATAATAAGGACTGCGCGATTCTGGAGTGTCCAGAGCGCGGTGCTTGAAGAAATTGCTAGGGATAAAAAGCGAGAACACGTTTCTGTGATCAATTGCCAGGAGGTCTCAAGCGAGAACACGATTCTTCAATAACTTGTGATGAAATATCAGGCGGGATTCGTTGTGGATGTAAACTGGGGGCCAATTAGTGGCATCACAATTTCCCAAATAAAAACCAGGGGCGAGCCCCGAGAAGGTGCACTTCAATTGAAAACACACGCACAAAAAGCGAAGGAGGCAATGACTATTCTTCAGATCCGGCCGGCGGAATCCTTCCTCAGCCACGAACCCACGGACGGTGCAAGACCGTTCCGGCCTCGCAGTCTGGAACATATACAGATATCCGCCACCGTGCCGCTGGGCACGGAATGGGCGTGTCCTCGGGTCCTTTGCCCAATCCCCTGCGCCCCAGTCCTCCATCCGAAGGAGTCTATCAGTCTATCCGAGGAGTCCTCCATCCGAAGAAGTCCCGAATTCACACATCTCCTTGACTTGCCGCGTGCCTCCCAGGCTCCGGGGCAACTTCCCGCATAACTTTTTCGGGCACAAAAAAGGACCCCAGGACGGGCCAGAAGGGCCGCAAGAGGCCTCCAAGACGGTCCAAAGGGCACCGAGTGACCGAACGATCGCTCCAAGACGCCCAAGATGGCCCCAAGACGACCCAAGAAGCCGATCAGATGCCCCAAGAGGCTTCAGAGGCAAGAGGGCCCGAAAAGGCCTTTGGGGGCCTCTTGGGAGCCTCTTGGGGGCCTCTTGGGAGCCTCTCGGGGCCCCTTGGGGCCTCTTGAGGGCCACTCGGGGCATCTGGGGGACCTCCTGGTGGCCTCTTCGGGCCTCCTGGGGGCCTCTCGGGGCCGAGGGCTCGAAATGTCCGTTCGGGCCCCCCATCCCTTCTTGCTGCTTTGAGTCCTCTTGGGCCGTTTGGGCGACTCTTGGACCGTCCTGAGGCCCTCTTGGGCAGTTTTCGGGCCCGTTTTGAAGCCTTTTGAGCCGTCTTCGGGCGGTCTTGGGGGCCTCTAAGACCCTAAGAAGCATCTCTGAGAACTCTGACACACAATCCAAGTGCAGTGGCGGATGGGCCGAAGGCCATTACACATAGATGTGGACATACGTATGTATCCCGACCAAACGAGGGCCTGGGTCTGGTATGCTCGAATATCTCCCATACAACCTTGCAGAACAAGCGCGCGCTTTTCGCGTGCGCTTAGTTTCTAGCCGCGCGCAAGGAACTCGCATTGCATGTTGCCGCTGAGGATTGCAAGGGCGATTCTGGAACTCTTTCGAGGCTGGAAGTGGCCTACGGCAACTTGGAAATCTCGGCGACGTGCGGGGGAATCTTGGGGGCTTCAGGCTTCATCAACGCGTCTTGTGCTTCTTTGGATCCGCCCTGGAATCGGAGGAGCTGAAGGACAAGAGGGGTGCCCGAGTCTGACTCCGTAGTAGTACACGCCACTAGGGCCTAACCACTGTGTTTCGAAGGCCGCCGCTGGGCCACCCATCTGGGGCCAAACCACGGCCCAACAAAGGCATGAATCCCCTCCAGGTCACATCGGCAGGGCCTCAAAGTCTAGGGGTTTGGCTTCGATGGCATTATTGAAAAGCTTTCACCTTCAGCCGTATTTGGGCCTCTTGGGAGCATGCTGAAGGGGGCGTCTTGAGGCTCTGTGGGCCTCCTGGGCCATCTTGGTGGTCTCTTGAGGCCGTGTTTGGGTCGTCATGGGGGCCTCTTGGGCCCGCTCTGGGCCCTCTTGGGCCCGTTTTTGGGCCGTCTTGGGGGTCTCGATCTCGCTGCCGTCTTGGTGCTGTCCTGAGCTGTCTTGCGCCTGTCTTCGGCTCCTCCGGGGGCTCCCTTGGGGTGTCCCAGGGCCCTTCCGGGCCGTCTTGGGCCCATCTTTTTTTTTTTTTTTTTTTTTTTTTTTTTCAAGGCGCCCGTCGCTAGTCAGGCATGCTCCGAGAGCGCGGGGTGTAGCTAGCCGAAGAGCGCGGCGGCGCGGCCAGTAGAGCCCCCCGCTCCCCACCCTGCGCCGGGCAGGGCGGGGGCTGGGGTGTGCGAAGGAGGGAGGAGGATTCGGGAGCTTCCAATCGAGGCAAAGGACACTAAGAGGAGATGGGGGCGTGCCACAGACGCTGCTCAGGGCGTCCGGGGCGTTCGCTCTGTGTCGCCCATGCCGCGGCCTGCTGGACTGCGGGGAAACTGCGGGGCAGGCAACTTGTCTCGCATATTACGGCAACCAGGATGCGCTAAGCCAGGCGGGACGCGCCGACAGCCTGAGCGAGCACAGTCCTCGGCCAGAACTCGTGCGGGCGGCACACAAAAGAATGGGCGGCTGCGCAGCAGCCTCGAGACCTCGACGAGGGGGGGGGAAGGAGTGGGGACAGGCAGCGCGGGAACGGGTGGGCGAGCGGGAGGGGGGGAGCGGAAGGAGCCAGCACAAAGCCCAGCCCGAATGCCGGCTCAGCGGAAGTCGGCGACGTCGCCAGGCTCCTTGGCGTACTTGTAGTATGTGCCCGTGGGCTTCCCGGCGTCATCGTAGGGGCGACCGTAGTTCTGGAGCTTCTTGGCGTCTTCAGCCTGTATGGACTGGGGGTCAGAGTCCAGTTCCATCCTGTTTTCGGCCATGTTGAAAACGCTCCCGTTGATGATCTGACACCCGAAGTCCTTCTCAGCCCACGGCGCGAATCGCTCCTGCAGGCGCCAACACTTGTTCAAGAACTCGCGGTGCACGCTGTCGTAGACCACCCCATGCTCTTGGAGCTTCTGCATGATGTCTTCGATGGAAGTGCTCTCGGTCACATTCATCTCCGCCTTGATCCCAAGCTCGAGCGCCTTCATCACGTATTCCAGTGGGAAGAAGCGGGCGTAGTGCCAGTGCCCGCCCTGTCTTGCCTGGTTGTAGTGGAAAGGTGTGAGAGGCATGTGGATGAACTGAAGGTGCAGCTGGTACATCGATGGCGGGAAATTCATACCACAACACGTAACATCCATAACTTCCTTCGTGCTCAGAGGTTTCTGCTCGCCGTTGAAGATCTTACTCCGGAACTCATCGTTGCCCCAAAACTGGTCCAATGCGACCTTTGCCCCTGTCTCGAACATATCTGTAACAAGTTTCAAACCCTTGGCAGGATTCAAGAGGAGAAACCGCCAGTCTGCTATATAAACATCGGTCGGCACGACGTTCAAATGACAGCACGACATCGACAGCGGGTCGTCGAAACACAAAAAGCTTGCGTCTTGGTGCCTCATAGATATCTTGAACGGGAACTTCCCCATCTTGATACCATGTACAAAACCCATGAAAATGTTATCGTTAAATGACACCGGGACATCGGCTAAGCTAGACCCGCAAGCGTTGCAGCACTGCAGCGTGAAGGCGCACGGCTTCTTGCACTGCGCGCACACCTTCACCTTGTTCAGGAGTCTCGCCCGGGCCTTCTCGTCTTTCACGCCCTCTCGAAACTGGTCGATCGTGCCATCGAACCTTGGCTCCGTGTCCTCCGCGAGCCTGGGGACGACGGGGACGTCCCCCTTCGCCCTGGCCAGGTAGGCGGTTGTGCGCCCCGACCCTGGCGTCCGGAACTCGATGTGGACCCCTCCGCCCTCTTCTCGCACGCCCCCGTCGTCGGGGCCATTCCCCATCCCAGGGGCGGCAGACGCCCCCCCCCCCCGCCTCCTGGGAGGATACCGGCGCCTTGAGCCACCTCGTCCTTGAGCCAAAATGGCTACGGAGGCCGTCTTGGGCCCATCTTGGGTCCTCCTGGGGTCTTCCTGAGGTCATTGTGGGTTGCGTTCTGGCGATCTGGGGGGCCTCTTGTGCCGTTTTGGGCACTCTGAGCACTCAGAGAACAAATTTTAGAAAAACATGCAAAAACCTGAAGAGAATCCACCCCTCTGGACCTTCGGACACACTGGTCCCGTCTACAAATACAACTAATGGCAGTGAGAATTCCTGGCCAGATCGCTGTGACGGCGACGGCGACAGCGGCGGTGACTAGGAACGGCGCCAGCGGCGACAACCACGGCGACGGTGGCAACGGAGGCGACGAGGGTGACGACGATGGCTCTAGGGAAGACGCCGGCGAGGACGCCAGCGGCGACGATAACTACGATGGCGACGGCCACGATGGCGATGGCGGTGGCGGCGGCAATGGCGCTGGCCAAGGCGGCGACGACGAGGGCAGCGACAATGACGACCACGGCAGCAACGGCGACGGCCCCGGAGGGGGCGACGGTGGCAGCGACGAGAGCGGCGACGGCGCTGGCGAAGACGACGTCGGCGACGTCGGCGACGTCGTACCGTTACTCTCTGCTCGTTTTCTGAAGGCTCGAGCTCGTTTGTTCCCCAACCCTGCTGCGTTGGGTTCTCGCTTCGAAGGAAGCGCGGTGGTCGCCTCTTCTCACTCCTTCTCCTCCCTCGCCTCCTCGCTTCTGCCTCATATCTCCTCTCTCCTGCCCTCTGCCTCTCGCGTGGGCTCCTGGGAAGGAGGACCTGTGTGGAACTGTCGCCACTTTCGCGGGCTCCCAGGAGGTCGCGCGGAGTTGAGTTATACGCGGATCCAATTGAAACCTCGCGGCTCCCTGGGGAACTACGAAGCGTGAAACTGCTGCGATTGTCGTGGGCTCATGGGAGGTCGCGCGCAGTGGATTTACACGGAGATCCACTTGAGACCTCGCGGCTCCCTGGGGGACTGCGAAGCGTGAAACTTCCGCCACTTTCGTGTGCTCCTGGGGTGGTGTTACACGGGGATCCAGTTGAGACCTCGCGGCTCGCTTGGGGGCTGCGAAGCGTGAAACTGTCGCCACTTTCGTGGGCTTTCTGGGAGGTCGCGTGGAACGAAGTTACACGGGGACCTAGTTGAGACCTGGCCGCTCCCTGGGGGGCTGCGGAGCGTGAAACTGTTTGCACTCGTGGGCTCCTGGGAGGTCGCGCGCAGTGGAGTCACACGGGGACCCAGTTGAGACCTCGCGGCTCCGTGGGGGCTGCGAAGCGTGAAACTGTCGCCACGTTCGTGGGGTCCTGGGAAGTCGCGCGGAGTGGCGTCACACGATGATCCAACTGAGACCTCGCGGCTTCCCGGGGGGCTGCCAATTCTGAAACAAAACAACACGTCGCGCTTGCCTCGCTCAACGCGACACGCTGTTTCGCATCAGAGCGCATGGCGCTGTTCAGTCCTGCCTGAGTAGCGCTCAGAGCTGTTACTGTCACTGAACCTGTATGTCCCCCCATTCACCGTCCTCCGCATGCTTCTGTCACCATCCCTATCTTGCTATTCCTGCGTATTGATTTCGTGTACTTCTGGGAGCTCATGCGCGCTGCGAGTCCTTCAACATGTGTGTTTGTAGCAAACGGTCGTAGATCGATTCGCCAATGTATTTAGACAAGGTGGGGTACGTCACCGAGTAAGTTTATATACGACATCGCTGGAGCGCACGGCGTGAGCTGCTGGAGCGCTCCCGCTTGATAAAGATGCAATGCTGGAACGCATACTTGTTTTCGGCATGGGTTGCTGGAGCGTTCTCGCTCGATGAACGGTAGGCGCTGGAGAGTCACCCCGTTTGTTTGCACGTAGAAGTATACATCGCAGGGGGAGGGGAGGGCAGGGTGTGGATGTCGGCTGGCGGGTTGCTGGCATTGTACTGACGCCTCGCTCTCAAGAGGGCTGCAGACGCAACGAGGCGAGCATCAAAGCGTGAAGATCGTTCCAGATATACCTCAATACATACACATGCGCCCTTTACATCTACTAGCACAAATAATCCACATACTGCAAAGAGCCTGTTGGCAACGCCTCTGGCAGACGTGATTGGCAGTCACGAGCCAACTTGGAGGCGCTGGAGCTGCCTGTGGGACCTCTTGGAGGATACTAGGCGGCAACGGCTGTAACGCCTTCGCAACCTCCACCAACAACAATATTCCACTAAAAGCAAGGAGCCTCTTGGCAGCCGCGATGGGCAGCCATGAGCCACCTTGGTGGCGCTGGAGCTACCCTTGGGCTCTCTTGGAAGCCTCTAATCGACTGCTCGTGCCGTCTTCGGCCTTCCCAGCACCATGCGGGGATTTCGGATTTCCTGGGGCTGCCTTGAGCGGCTGGGGGCGGGGGGGGGGAGGAAGGGGCTTTACGAGGGCCTGCCACGGACCAGCACAGCTCTCCCGTGCACCATCCAAAACAAAATACGGGCAGTCGGCCCGCACAAGCTATGAGTGCACCGATGCCATGCCCTCCTTCCCTGCCCCACCCACCCCAGCGACCGGCCCCCCCTTCTGGCTCTCCCCCGTGGCTCCCCCCCCCTGGCTTCACCTGACAGCTCCCCACGTGCTCCCCCCGTGGACGAGGAATCCTCCCTGATGCGACGCGTACTGTCTCATCCCTCCTCCTCCTCCTCCTCCTCCCCCTCCTCCTCCTCCTCCTCCTCCTCCTGTCGATGGTAAAAAATCCTTCTCCTCTTCGTCCCAACGCTCAGCTCATCGTGCGCCGCGTGCTTCGTTCTCCTCCTGCTCCTCCTCGCCCTAGTCATCGAGATCCTCCTCCTCCTCCTCTTCCTCCTCCTCCTCCTCCTCTTCCTCCTCCTCCTCCTCCTCCTCCTCCTCCTCCTCCCTCCTCCCTCCTCCTCCTCCTCCTCCTCCTCCTCCTCCTCCTCTTCCTCCTCCGCCTCCTCGTCCTCCTCGTCCTCCCCCTCGGGGAACGCCAAGCCATCAATCGGTCACCACACCGACCTACCGATCCTGGTCAGGCCAATCCAGGGGACAAGATCGACTGACTTAGCTGAAGGGCCGCCGTTCGCCCCAGCCGAATCTCCGACGTCGTGATCTTATGCACGGAGTGGCTGCCAGTAAACCTTGATGGCTTCAAAGGGGCTGTCTTCGCCCAAAAGAATTTTTCTGAGGACCCAAGGTCGAGAAAACAGCCCGCTGAGGCCCGACACTTAGAACAACTGGCAATCGTGTTTTTGTCTTACCGCGACGCCCATGAGCATTGGGCAACTCCCTCCAACTTGACCTGCCAACCTGTCCAGGAACGCGTTGACCAGCTGCACACAGCCGTGGCGCCCAGGTGCAAGACCGGTAAAACACTTCAAACTGTACATTATCGCTCCTCCTCCATCCACGAGTCGCCCGCGCCTCCCCTCCGCTGTCACGAGTATTTTCCTGACGTGACCCTTGGGGCTCTGAAGCCCTTTCAGAAGACGGGCGTTGCATCCTCTCGGGCCAGACAGAATCGCTCTCGCAAGCCCAAGCCGATGAAAACTGTCCGCAACACCATTCCGTGACGCCGGAACGTGAGGGCCCCACAACAATTCCAACTCCAGGGCCGCTCCTGGGCCCCGTCCTGGCGTGAATTTCGAAGCGGCAGCCCTGAAGACGAGAAGCCTCCAGAAGGCCCAGAGCGGCCAAGAAAGAGAACAAATGCCTGGAGCATCGATTCTCGGATCTGACTGTTTGCGTGGCACGAAGGAACGGGGTCCTGGTGGAAGAGTGCCTGGACCAGGGCGCATGCTCGTCATCCTGAATTGTTCCTTTTACTGCCCCGGGGCCTAGGAAGGGCACCGACAACTTCGAAAGCGTCGAAAGACCGCCAGGACCCCTTCCCTCATGGCTAACTCGTGAAATCGGAACTAAGGGTCACAATCGGGGATCTACTGACCAAAATCATTGCAAACCCAGGTCAACCGGATTCTGCAAGATCCTGCAGGAACCTGCACGCAAGCCCGGGTCAATGCACCCCTGGCTCTGCAAAATCCTGCAAGATCTGGCGCTCTGGCTGACCCCAATTTACATTGACCCCGTCCGTTAAGCCCAAGACCAGAGCTCTATCGGGGTGCGTGCGTTCTGGCAAGAAATTCGAAGCGGACCCAGCCCTGGCGACGAGAAACATCTTTAGGCCTGATAATGCCCACAACTGCATGACCTCCCGCAAGATAACCGCTCTAAATTCGCAGTCCAAACATCTGGCGCCTCGGTAATTCTAGACATGTGCCGCAGGCCCATCAACCCCTTCCCTGGGGCCAGCCTATCATCTCCAGGACTTTGTTCGACGGACCTGTAGTCCCGACTCGGAAAAAAACAGCGTCGAATGAATCCAGAGCAATACAATGACAAACAAACTGGAGTGTCGATGTGTTTAAGCCGAATGTGAAGATCATGATGCAATGTGAAACGACCGATTCCCGTCCAGATAGGAACCACCACAAAAATGTTTTCAGATTGAAACATCGGATGTGGACGCCACCACTCTCCAGGAAAAGGACGCCACTCTTGCAAGCGGCAGTCATCATAATGCCTCCGAGCCGCCCGATGTCTGGAGACGTCGGACCTGATTGCCCCGCCCTCCCCGTCTGAGGGGGAACGTTAAGGGGGGACTGGCTCAGTGGCGAAGAGTCAATTTGGAATCGGCGATGAATACCTATATGTCTATCTGTCTGTATACATCTATGTGTATATATATTATAGATATATATATATATATATATCGCCTGTGGGGCGGCGATGGGTACTTCATAGCGAAACCCCACGTTCCTCGGGTGGTGGGCACTCAGGACCCCATCGGCGCTGTATGGGCGATCGGGGGCCGATGCATCCCTCCCTGGAACTCACTTCCATACCATTTGCGATGACGCCCGTGACCGGCCCCGCCCCCCACCCCTCCCCCTCCCACCCAGAGTCGCGTCACGATTCGCGCTGGCGACGTCTGAACATCAGCCGGTCCTGAGCATTCCCAGGCGGTACCGGCGCGAATCGATCGTGACGTGACCGCCCCCAACCACTCCCCCTCCCCGTCTCGCCCGTCATCGCCCAGGGATTTTAAAAACTCTCCTGGGCCTACAGTCAAGCTGTATCAGAAGGACGCGCGGTAAGGATGCAAGGGCCTTAAAGGGCCATGGTAACGTTTTCCAAGCGAGGTTGGCCAGCGACAGTCGCGAAGGGTGGGCCGACGGGGAAGGATGCAAGGGTACCCTTGGGAAGGTTGCCCATCCTTACCATGCGGGTTGACTGTACACCGCCCTACCGTTGCACCTGACCCTTCAAGCCGAGCAGCCGGCGACCCGCCAACGGCCAGGGCCGACCGTCCCCGTGCTGCCGCGGGAGGGCGCGGGCGGCTGGCGGGCCCCGCCGCCCCCCCCCCAGGGGACGCCTCGGAGACGTGGGCGCTGAACCGCTTCTGCCGCGCCGGCGGTGTCGTCGTGCGGCGGCGGCGGCCGTCGTCCGTCCCCGTCCGTCGGTCGCCGGTCGGTCGTCGCGCATGTTTTCAGCCATCGGCTGTCGTCGTTGCCGTCGACGTCGTCGACGACGTCGCGTCGTCGTCACCTTGTGTCGTTGCCGTCGTCGTCTTTGTCCGTCGTCAAAGGTCGTCACCGTCGACGTTGCCGTAGGTCGTCGTCCGTCGTCGTCGAAGCAACGGGATCTTTGTCCACCGTCGTGAATCGTCGTGGTGTCGTGCTCGTTGTGGTCGTCGTCGGCTTCGTCGTCGTGGTCGAAATGCTCGTCCTGGTCATCGCCGCCGATCTGAGCCCGGGCGCGCACCACTCTGCCAGAAGGATACGAGAGCTGGGTCCGCGTGATGATAAGAAGCCGAGGGGCAAAGAAGCGGTGCGCCGGAAATCTAGGTCGCCTGACTCCGGGGTTCGCACTACATGATGCGACCCGGTTGCCTGTTCGCTCTCGCGCCGCGCGCACCGAGCAGAACGGCGCCCCGGCCCAGGCCACCAGGCGCTCGCGCCCCTGCGGGGGTCTCAAGACATGGGGACAGTGTCAATTTGGGGTGATGCCCTACATCAAAAGATCCCAACTGACAGCTACCGCTGCTGCACGGAATCCCCGCGTTGGATGTTGATGGTGGTGACGCTTGCAATCGAAGTGCTGCCAGAAGAGAACGACGCACCGTTTCGTAATTAGCTGCCGCTAGATTTAGAGGGGCGCCCGAGGGAAGACCTGAGGACCCGAGGAGCCCCGAGACCCTTTTCCGAAACCTTCTCCTGGAATCTCTATTGCGTAGCGAGGTGAAAAGAATCATGCCTCCCGCCTTCGCTCGTGTCCCCTCGGGGCCCAAGGAGCTCTCTCATACAAACCGCCCTCGCGTTTGACGATCCCAACTTCCACACGGGAGCCGAACGATACCTACCCGTGGGGTGGCCCCCGCAACGGTCAAGCTCCCCGACAAAGAATCGCGTGGCATGAAACTTGTTTTTGTTGCCTGGAAGCGGTAAACGGAGTGAATAGGTCATGCACCTCAGATTGATAGCAACAGCCGCGGCCTGAAAGGCGCAGACGCGCTGCCAGCTCAAGACGACGCGCGAGAGCCAAGACTTCTGCAGGATCTGGGCGGCGTAGAAGGTCGAGGCCTGCGGGGGGGCCGTGAGGGGAAGCTGTCGCGGAGGCGGGGCGGGGGGGGCAAGGGGGGCAGGAGAGGGGGAGGGGATCAGGGAGAGGGAGGCGGGGAGAGGAGCAGAGGGAGAGGGGAGGGTACATGCGGAGAGGCATGGGAGCGGCAGAGGCGGGAGAGGGAAGGACACGAGGAGTCAGAGAGCGGGCGGTGGGTGGGAGGGAGAGGGACGGGGCCGATAGAGGGCGAAGGGGAGGAGGAAGGGGGAGGAGGGATAGGGACGGAGACGACGGGAAGTTCAACGAGAGGGAGAATGGGGATGACAGGGACTGGCATGCGCAGGGGAGAAGGGGGAGAAGGGGCAACAAACAAGTGGGTGGGAGGGGGGCGACCTCGTGGCCACGGGTGGATTCGCCTCCTCTGGCGCTTTCAAATCTCCTTCTTTCTCCCCTCTTCGTTCCCCTCTTCCCCTCCTCATCCCCCTCTCCCTTAGGTTCCTGTTTCCTGTCTCCCCTCGCCCTCTTCATACCCTCCCCCCTCCGAACGCTCCCGCCCATGTGACCCTCCCTTCCCTCACGGTGACCCCCCTCCCTCATCTGCTCCACCCGGAAGATGAAATGCCAATCACGTACGCAGACACGCCAAAGTCAGCGGACGCGCTCCAGAATCAGACCCGGATGGCAATAACGCGCGATGGAGGCATGAGTGCCCATCCCGTGAACGTGATACCTCTTGGTTCATGCCGTCGCCCATGCCCTGGGGTATGCGACGCCAATCACCGAATGAGGTTTTCGACTGGACGAAAATTTGCCAAACTCGAGTATAGACAAAATGGGGGGTGGATCCATGCCCAAACGGGGTGCGTTAGAATGGCCCCCTGGCAATGCATCCTCGGGGATTGGAGGAGAGAGGTCGCCCACGAGCCCTCGCTTTGTCCCCCGAGCACCTGTCAGAAGAGGGCCGTCGAGAGCCGTGCACCCTGAGAACGAGAACAGGGCCGTCGAGAAGATAGCCGTCGAGCGCCTCTCTGACGAGGCCCTTCTCCCCGAGAGCCGTGCACCCCGCGCCTTCTCCAAATCCCTCCCTTCCCACCCCTTCCTGGCAACCGTGCACGGTGTTTCGGGGCCGTTCCAGGTAGGTACTGTGAAGAGGGCGATGCCGCCATCGCCCACCCAAAGGACCTCGGGCAAACTGAAGACGCGCCTGCCGTACCAGAGGTCGTGTCGTGACGACCCCGGCGTTGGTGTCTGACACCGCGTGGATCCTTCAACCATTGTTCGACCTTGAACGATCGGCGGCTCTTCGATCGCCAGATCGTTCCATGTGGGCCGACTCTAGGCCGCTGGCGGCGTTCAACCTTGAACGCAGCCGGCGGGGTCGCCGACCCGAGACGCTCCCGCCGTGCCGTGCGAGCCCGAGGGCAGGCCCGCGCAGGGCCCGACCGCAGCAGTCACGCAGCTCCGCTGCCCCTGCGCACGCGCACCCTGTCCACCCGTGGGCCGAGCACGGCGCCTGAGTGGCTCGCCTTGCTCCTCCCCTTGCTCCTCCCCTTGCTCCCCCCCCCTCGCGTCCTTCCTCGCCTCTGTCATGCTAGGGTTCGGTCGGGCCTGTCGCCCTACAGGCGGATGTTGAAGAAAAACAAAAATAAAAGCACCAAAATGGTAAACAAAACACTCTTAAAATCGTCCCCCGACTATCTTTTGACTATTGTTGAATACTCCCCCTGTAGAGGGACAGGCCCGACTTCATGGTAGGGGAGCCAACCGCGTCCGCATGCGACATGTGGTCGCGCCACCGCCCCCCCCCCCGCCCTCGACAGAACAGCCGTGCACGCGCACCCTCCATGGAGAGACCGCCTCCTGCCGCTCGAGGAGCCCCCCCCCTTCTGGGGGGAGCAACACGCACCCACACCGCTACTCCCCGGACATCGCCCAGGGGTGCTTCCTGACCAACTGTTCGAGGGCGAATCCAGCAGTGGCGGCGAGGACCGCCCAGGCGGCCCGAACAGGCGAAAACGAAGGAACGGTGGCGGCATGTGAGTGACCAACAAAAACTGGCCCCAAACCCATTGGGAAAGGAACCTAAATTAGGAGGTCCCAAAGCATCACGGATAGGAGGTCTTTTCTGAAGATGTATCGAACCAAACCGTGCAGGTCCATGCTCCCTGATTCAAAGACGGGGACCTCGGTGAGGCCACGCCTTCATTTCGCTTATTAGGGTTAGCGGCTATTTCGTTCTCGATGGGTAGCCGTGTCCTCCTTCCTCTGACCCTCGAGGACCGATCGATTGATCGATCCCCGAGGGGCCGTCCTCGGAGGACAGGCGCCCGCCGCCGGCACTCCGACAGTCACCGCTCAGCGCAGGGCGGCCCCCCGGCTCTCGGGGGAGCCTCGTACTCGTAGGCCCCGACCCAGCGCTCGAGGAAGTGCGACAGCCTGGCCTCGGCGCCTCGGTGAGACTGCAAGCGCGAAGCCAGCGCCCGCGCCGCGTCCGAATCGCGACCGGCCACGGCGGCGTGGCTTCGCAGGACCAGCCAGCGTCGAATCGGGAGATCGGCTCGGACCGGAGTGGACATCAAATCGGGCCACAAGGGCGCGGAGTCTGAATCGAACCGACTCGGCCGCGCCAGGATGCACATCAGCGCCATCAAAACAGTGTCAGAATAATTATCGGAATCGAATCGCATCGGGAAGGCCCTGACCGATGCCGAATCGCATCGATCGGGTCGAAGTGGGCCCTCTCCGCGCGCAATGCGCTGCCGAAGTCGCCGCAGGTTACGCTTCGCGATGTACGAAGCAAGGGCCCCCCTCCCTGCTCTTACGCCGCCCCCGTCCGCCGGAACGATTTTTGCGTAAATGCTTACTGCAATACGTCCAGGTCGTCTGGGAAGAATGGCAACCCAAATCAAATGCCGCGAAGAACGGACACCATCGCGCCCCATCGGGTGACCGAGATTATCGGGCGATGTGCTGGGCTCCGCGAGCCGTGGATGCCGGTTGGGCGCCGCTTCGACACCCCCCCACACACATAGGTGGACACACGTATGTATAAATGTATGGAGTGGTGTGAGAGTAACCTCAGATCGTGTTTGCATGACTCTCGAGAAACGGCAGCTGCAACACATGCGCACACATACTACAATTGAAAAACTCCGTTGTGTCGCGACGTCCTCAATCACGATTGCTAGTGGGGCTGCGCTGGCTCGAGCTTGCATAATCCGCCACCGTGCCCCCTGGCGCGTTGAGGCGCGCTAGAATGCCAAGCGCTGTCGAGTAGCAGTGTTGTAGTTTTCTAGGGCCCCCCCCCTCTCCGGTCGCACCTCGGCACGCGCACTGGCCATACTCCACGGGGTCCCTGGGCGGCCATGGCGCCTCCCTGGGGCTCTCCGGGGCTTCCATGACGTCCCAGAAGGCGCCCAAGACGGTCCAAGAGGGCCCCAAGTCGCCCAACGATCGCTCGAAGACGCCCAAATTGATTTCAAGATCGCGCAACAGGCTTCCCAGATTGAAGTCCTCCAAGAGGGCCCCCAAAGGCAGAAATCATTGATTTTCCTGACACATGTTTGGAAGGATGTCGTTGTTTTCGCCTTTTCGGAATTCCGACGCTCCACGACAGCCCGCGAGGCGCATAAGACCAGCCCAAAACGGCCCGAGAGGCCTCCAAGCGGACCCCAAGGCGGCTTCAAAAGGGGACCCACTTGAATCGCCGCGGTGGTTGCTAAGGGGACGGGGGGAAAGGGAGGGGTAGAAACGAATGGTAAATGCTACAGTGGGTTTTACCAGGCCGGACCCAACCTAGAAGTGGGTTGCAAGTGCCCTATGTGGTTTCGGGTGATGACGTAACTCCGCTAAGCGGGCTCCGCCCTTTAGCCCAAATTTGCGCGCCCGTAAGCCACTCAGGGCACGTGCAACCCACTTTTGAGCTGGAGCAAGCACGAAAAAAAAACCCTTCAATCGTCATTTCTACCCCCCCCCCCATCCCCTTAGCAACCCGGCCTCAAGAGGCGCCCCAGATGCCTTAACGGGACCCCGAGAGGCCCCCGAAAGAGTGCCCCCAACAGGCCTCGAAACGGTTTCCAACATGCCCCCGGGAGGCCCCCCACGAGATTCCATCGAACACCCCCTACGCTTAAATTTTAAAACCCACAACCCAGGCACGGACGGTGGCGGGACGTGCTTCAGACTCGCAACCGCCGAATAATGAAGAATGCCGGTCGCGCCCGTCATGGGAATGTTTTTTTTTTTTTTTTTTTTTTGAAATGATCATCGCATCCCAGTGTTCCGCGGGCACGGAAAACAAGCATAGCAGCAATTTAAACCGACCCCGTTCGACGCGGGGATCCCAATGCACCCCCGCTGAAAAGAAATGCAACGCGCATGCGTCCAGGGCCCCAATGAGGCCCCGACGAGGGCTCCGCGAGGCCGTCGACGCGCCTTCCGATCGACTCCGATGCCCCCAGAGGCATCTCGTCCAAGTCCGAGGGTCGCCGGCAGCGGGTCGAAACACACTAGATGCGGCACGCCAGTTATGGGCCCGACGTGCACGTGAAATATACGATGCGCGCGTGCATATGTATGTATATATACACATACTAGGACCATCGCGCGCGCTTCGCGCGCGCGATGGTTCTGGCCGAGGCCAAGGACAAATCGAATCAGACATCGTCGAAAACGCGCCCGTAAAAAGGAACAGGTCGACGGAAGACTCGGACGAACATAACAGAGCTCGTCCTTAGCGCTCGCGCTGCTTAGCGTCCTTCGCGTTCGCGCTGCTCTCCGATCGACTAAAAGTCCGCTCAAAGAGAGCCCCAGGGCCGAAACCCGAAAGACCTCGTCGAACCTCGATCCTCGACTGATCGGTCCACGACTGGCGCCGCCGACGACGAACGCGACAACGGCGGAAGCGACGACGACGACGACGGCGGCGACGATAATGACGACGACGGCGGCGGCGCTGACGACGGCAAGGGCGACGACTACGGCGGCGCCGACGCCGTCGCCGTCGAGGTCGCCGCCGCCCCTGCGCGGACGCAGCCGCGGCGACGAGCGCTATCCTACGGCGTCGACACTGTTACGCCCGCCAGGTGTGGGAGGGAAGGGGCGGGCGGCAAGCGCGCGGGGCCCCCCTCTCTCGGAGCGGGCGCGCGCCACGGAGCGGGGGCGAGCGCGCGCGGGCGGGCGTCAACCGCGACGACCCTCTTCCTGCTTCTCATCATCCTCTTCCTCCTCCCCCTCCTCCTCCTCTTCCACCCCCCCTCGCATCCCCCCTCGCCCTTCCCCCCCCGCCCTCGAAGAGGGGGGGGGGTCCCCCGACGCCCGCTGGACGGCCGTTTGTCACCCCGGATCGGCCTCCGACGGGCCCCGGCGGACTGGCGCCAAACGGCCCCCCGGGGCCGAAACCCGAGATCCCAAGAGGGCGGCCTACCGCCCGCCAAGGCAGGGCAGCGGGGCTCGCGGAAGGGGGGGGGGGGGAGAAAGGAAGCGGAATGGGAAGGGGGGCGGGAGCGGTGGGGAGGGGGGGGAGGGGGGGGGGGGGGGGGGGGGAGGTGGAACGGGAGGGGAGGAAGGGAGGAAGGGGAAATAAAAAAGGGGGAGCGGGGGAGGAGGAGGGAAGGGGGAGTTGGGGGGGAAGAGGAGGGAAGGGGCGCAGGGAGGGAGGAAAAGGACCCCGGATTTTGGATGTGCTTCCGGCACCGACTTTCCAGCGAGATGCAACGACTCATGCCGCTCACATCTGCACCGAGCTGACCTGATCCCGCCGACCCCTTGTGGGCCTCTTGGCGTGCAGAATCTTCCCCTCCATAAGCCCCCGCTGGGTTTGGCCTATTGGGGGGATCTCTTGAGGGCCTCTTGGAGCCTCTTAGGGACCTCCAAGGGCCTCCTGGGACCTTCTTGGGGCGGAAGGGTCGGATTTTCGGTTCGGCCTCCTCATCTTGGGCTCCTCTTGGAGCCGTCTTGGAGCCCTCCTAGGTCGCGTTGGGGACCTCTTGGGGTGTCTTGGCCCCCTCTCGGGACGTCTTTGGAGCCTCTTGGGCCGATTTGGTTATCTTGGCGGCCTCTTATACCGTCGTCACCGCTGTGAAGACCGACAAGTCGTAGATGCTGACAATTCACATTTCCCCATGCAAAATCAATGATCCTGGCCTCTTGGGAACCAATTGGAAAGCCTCTTGGGGCGTCTTCGCGGTCTCTTGGGCACTGTGAGAACCCTCTTGGGCGTCCAAGGGCTAGCTTTAAGCGCTCCGGGGCCGCCGTGTAATGTTTTGGGAACCTCATGGGGCCCTCTGGCCACGCCTTGGCCGCCCCTCGGGTTGTCTTGGGCCGTTTTGGTAGCCTCGTGGGGGCGTCTTCGGGGCCTCTTGTGCCCTCGTGCACGCCGTGAAGGCCGAAAAGCCGTAGTTTCTAAAATTGTACGCTTTCCTATGCACAATCAAGGATTTTGGCCGCTTGGGGCTCCCTGGGAAAGCGTCTTGGGGCGTCGTAGCGGCCTCTTGGGCTCTATGGGAGCCATCTTGGGTGTCCAGGGGCGATATTTGAAAGCCCTGGGGACGTCTTGGACCGATTTGGGGGCCTCTTGGGGCTCCGTGGACACGTCTTGGCCGCCTCTTGAGCACGCCTTGGCCGCCCCTGGGGCTGTCTCGGGCCACCTTGGGCCGTGTTGGGAGCCTCTTGGGCCGTCTTGGGGCCGTCGTGGGGGCCTCTTGTACACTCGTGCGCGCCGTTTTTCTTATGCACAATCAATGATTTTGACCGCTTGGGGCTTTCTTGGAAAGCAACTTGGGGCGTTGTAGCGGCTTCTTGGGCTCAATGGGAGCCATCTTGAGCGTCCAGGGGCGATCTTTGAGCGCCCCGGGGCCGTCTATGACCGGTTTGGGGACCACTTGCGCCTCCCTGGGCACGTCTTGGCCGCCTCCTGGCCAGGACAGGAGCGCCCCCGGAGCCCCGGAGCGGCCATGGGCGCAGGTACCGGCCTGGCGGCCCGGATCCCACTCTGCCGGCGCATATATATATATATATATACACATATACACATATACATTTATATATATATATATGTTACACCCAGGCACTAGGGTATGCCGACCTTCGTCCGAACAGATATTCTGAACATGTTTCTTAGCGTCTCGCGCTCCCCATACTGTGCACGGCGGCGGAGTGTCGTGGTCATGCTCCTGTCCACGGCCAGTGTTTGCTCGTCATGTTCTTTCTGCCGGGGGGGCGCACGAGGCCGGCGCAGCTGCGCCTCGGCGAGCGCAGGGCGGCGGCCCCGCCTGGTCGCGCCCAACTGGGGGTCTGGGCCTCCGGCCCCGCTCCCAGTCTGTGCCGCGGGAACGCGAGCGTTCCCTCGGAGGCCTCGAGTGAGCAGTGGGAGACCGACCCCGGCCCCCACCACAATAGAGTTTCGTATCCACGTGTTTCGCAATTATGGCGAATTTGCGTAAGTGTAGGCGCCCGGTAAGCGAGGTCACTGCCAGCTGACGCAGTGGGGGGCCCCGTGCACGCGGTCTAGTAGGTCTACAGTTCCTCGTGTGGGGGGCGGGGGGCGCTTTCCATGCGTTCATCGAGGTAGTCTCCAACACCAATATCGGCGGGTTGCCTTCACCAGTGGGACAAAATCCCCATCTCGGGGACGGTGGTGATTTCGAGCTTCTTAGGTGACCGGAGAATTCTTAGCGATCCACGGATTTGGCGCGCGGTCGCCAAATCCATGGATCGGGGGAGGTGCCCTCCCCAAAAGGCGCCGGAAACTCGCGATTTCACATGGAAACGGGACCCGTCGCTAATCCACGCCCCCTTGATCCATGTTTGCGATCGGCTGGCTCGCGGAGGTCCACGCGGATTTCTCGGATCGGCGCTGGACACCCTCCCTGGCGCGCCAGCGGCGCTGGAGGCGCCGCCAAGGCGGTGCAGCGCCGATCCGAAAACCTGCGCGGAGCTTCGAAAAAGTTGGTGTCGGTACAATTTCTCGTCTTCGGCCCTCGGCGCCCCCGAAGACAGTGGCCATGAGCATCGTTTATCCGACCCCTATCCCCAACGGCTTGGCTTGGGCCCCACTGGCCGATTTGCCACCCTGGATGGCGATATAGGCAGTTTCCTTCGCGTCTCGAGGAGTATATCACCAACTGGGGCGGTCAAATGGTGGGGGTCTGGATAGGGATGGTGATGGGAACAGGGGTCGGATGAACGATACTGAGGGGTGGAGGGAGTGGGGAGAGCTTCTTAGAAGGAGGCTGCTTCTTAGAAGGCGCCGGCTTTACATCTGTAGATAGGGCCCGCGCCTTCTAAGAAGCACGGGTGCTTCCAAGATGCCCTCCCCCCTCCCACCATCCACCTCTGCGCGTGGCTGAATAGGGGTCGGATCAACGATACTGAGGCCCGGCCACTTACGGTTGCCGTGGAGATGTGGCGGGGCGGCGGCGGCGACAGCGAGGTGCCGCCACGGGCTGGCGAGACTCGCCAGCCAGTCCGCGGGTTCGCGCGCGCGAGACGGCGCCTCGGCGGGGCGGGGGCGATAGCCGGCTGCTGCCACCACCGTGTCAATGTTGAGCTACACTGTCAATGCCTCGCTCTCCTGGGGCTTTGCTGTGTTCCTGCTCGTTAACGAGTGTCACGGGCGCGGAACTACACTGTCAGTGCCGCGCTTTCTTGTAGCTTTGCTGTGTTCCTGCTCGCAACGCACACCGCCAGAGGCGGCGGAGAGCTTGAGAGATCCACCCGCCAAAAGTGTCCCAGGCCCAGGGTGTTCCCAGTATTCCCAGGGGGGCCGGAGAGCCTCCAGAGCACCCCTTCACGAGGCCCGGGGGGCTCCAGGGGCTCCGAGACGGCGCGAGAAGCTGGGGGCATCTTTCGATTAGGAGATCGACTATAGAATTGATTTACCCCAGAATTAAACATTGCGCTGGCACTACAAAAGATCGACAAACATGTCACGTACTTGATCGTGGACTCGACGGCAAACAACTATGTTGGCGTAAATCGTTTGCACAGTCGATCTCCTACTCGAACCTTGGGGCCAGGGCCGTCTTGAGCAGCACTTGCGGCGGGGCGCTGGCTTGTCCGAGGGCCGCGCACAGCTGCGCCACGTTCGCCGCCGCGGCGCGGTCGCGCTGCTGCTTGGACGCGTGCTGCGCCCACGCCTGCAGGGCCTGCTGCGCCTCTGGGCGGTGGCGGGCCACAGGGCGCAGGGCTGCACATGGGGGATGGTCGGGGGCGACGATGGGGGCGAACAATATACGTGTTCAGGGGAAAACAAACCATGCATCCAGGGGCGCCGATGGTCCATGCGTCCCGTCCATGCCTTTGACGGGGCTCCCAGGCGAACACGTGTAATGCCCGCCCCAGGGCTATTCGCCCCGATCGTCGCCTCTGAAATGAGGCCTGCGCAGAAGCCACCCTCTACGTCGTGATGACCCCAGCGTTGGTTTCGGACACCGCGTGGGTCGGCCAATCCTGAACGATCGGCGGTTTCTCGATGGCCAAATCGTTCCGCTTTTATCAATTCTGGGCCACCGGCGGCATTCAACCTTGAACGCCCACGACGGGGTCGCAGCTGCGTCGACACGACACGAAGCTACCGTATTCACGACCATACCACTGAAAGGCGCAAACAAGGACCGTGTCGGTCTCGGACAACAATTCCCTCCCGCCGAAACTAGGACAGCGAAACATTTCTACAAGGATCTGATCATAAAACAAGCGCGCATGACATTAGCCATTGTCGCTAGAGATCTAGAACGACCACAAAATACGCTCAATAGAAATACAGATAGGCCAAAATATCCTCTTGAGCCGAAACGGCTACGGCGCGCCCAAGAACAATGAATGACCGCTCGTGCCCAGGACGATGAATGACTGAATGACGATGAACGACATGCCCAACCCCCTCTGGCAAAATCCGGCTTTTCAACCCTCCAGACATGCACGCGCCCTTCCTCCGCCACCTCGTCGCTCGACGGCATCGAAGAAGAGAGGTAGAGAAGAGATATGGTCCCTGCGGAGTCGGCCCGATAGCACGTGCGCAGCAGCAGAAGGGAGAGGAGAAGGGAAGGCGAATGGGCAGTGGAAAGAGGAGAGGGAGAGAGCGATGGGGGGAGGAGGGGAAAGGGGGAGAGGAGAGGGAGGGAGGGAAAGGAGGATTAGGGGAGGGGAGGGAAGGACCACCCCAGAGCTGCCTGCTGCGTGCCGTACAGATGAGGCCGGTAGCGCATGAAGTTCTGGGCCCGTTGGAGGAGCCAGGATTCCCGCCTGGGCGGCACCAGCCGCGGCCAGCGCGCACAGAGCACGGGTGTGTGTGGTTGTGTGTGTGTGTGTGTGTGTGTGTGTGTGTGTGTGTGTGTGTGTGTGTGTGTGTGTGTGTGTGTGTGTGGGGGGGGGGGGGCAAGCGCACATTCCACCCACTGCTCCTACTTCGTCCCCCCTTCCTCCTGCCCCTCCTCCTCTCTCCACCTCCTCAATGCCCGTATTATGCCCTTCCCGATCCTCATCCTCATCCTCCCCCCTCCGCCCTCCTCTTCCTCATCCCCGTCTTCTTCCCGCCTGCCCCGTCCTCGTCCCTCGTGACCCACGTCCTTCCTCGTTGCCCATACCCTCCACCCCAAGATAGTATTCCTCACTCGTCCCCTCATCCTCCCCCTACCACCGTCATCTCCATCACCATCGCCACCATCATCGTCGCCACCATCTCGAAAGCATCATCATCATCATCATCATCATCAGCATCATCATCATCATCAACATCAGCAGCGGCGGAACCACCATCATCATCAGCATCATCATCGTTATCATCACCACCACCACCATCATCGTCACCATCATCATCCTCGTCGTCGTCGACGACGTCGACGTCGACGTCATCGTCATCGCCATCGTCGTTGCCATAGTCGTCAGCGTCACCATTATCATAATCAATATCAACACACGTCCGACCGCGTCATGGAAACTCAAGCGAACCCCTTGCGCCACGACCGCATTTGAATGTTAGATCCAACGAATTCCCGGTGGGTGGGATGTCTGCGCGAACATTGAATGTCTTCACGCGCGGACGCCAATCAAAAAAATGTTACCACGCAGATTACACCCAATACCTTCCGCAACATATGAAACCATATCCGCCACTGTGACCTCCCCTAGCACGTCGAGGCGTCAAGACTGCAAGGTTGCTGTCTGGAACTATTTCTGCAAGTTTTCTGAGCGACCTCCCCTCCCTTCCCACTTATAACAAAAAACGATGGACCCACGCCCCCGAAGCCTCGTGTAATGTTCCTGGCGTTTCCTGGCTCCGCAAGCGGCCGTGCATCGAGGAATATGCTTGACATCGGAGCCGAAACCAGATGCACATATCTGTCTGTTGTACCCCCCTACCCTTGTCGTCCGTACAGGGAGGGCCTTACAACGAAGACCTGCGGTGGCGACGGGTGGGGAATAACACCATTTATACCGATGCCGCTAAGTCCCAGATCTCTATGGAGTCGCGTTCGGTCTATAACTTCGAAGCGAATCCAGCCGCGGCGACAACAACGACCCCACAAATCCCATGTCTGGACTTCTGTCGCCCAGGAGCAGGCAAACCGCTAAAAGTCTTGTTTTCTTCTAAGTTTAAACGAGTGCGACAAAAGTGTGACTTCAGCGGAAACACGAAGTACAAATATGAAAACGTTAAACTAACAAAGTGTAAAATCCGATAAGGCCGTAAATGGAACTGTGCATTCAACGAACATTTAAAAAAATGTGACTTCGGCGAAAATGGAAGTACACGTGTGACTTCGGCGAAAAGCGGAAGTGCACATTCGCCCGAACGCCAGCGCCAACAACAATGGAAAGCCACGACAATAGCGTGAAAAACGCTCCCTCGAACTACTCTGATCCCGAACGTAGCGCGCGAATCTCCCCAACGCGCCCGCATCGTGTCGGCGCGCGGCGCGCCCCCAGGCTGAGTTGAAATGGCCGCGCAGTAATCCCTTGGATTGCGCACCGTGGCCCCTGGCGCAAACGCCAATGCAGCGCGCGGACCGCGGCAGCTTTCAGCTCGCCGGGCAACGGCCGATCACCATGCTCGCCCACCGTGCGTCGGCGAAGATTAAGCCCAACGCGCCCGGGCGAGGCCATTGACAGGGGGGTTCGCCCCATGTTTCCTTCCCATTCCTAGGGCGGCATCGGCGTCGGCATGGGCATCGGCCATTCCCCGCGCGCCGACCGCCGACGACCCGACCAACATTCCCATCCAGAGGCCAGCCCTGCCAGCCCTGCCGCACAGACACCGCCGCCCGCCCCGGCGACCCAAGCGCCACCATCAGCCTCCAGCGCGCAAAAACGCCAGTGGCAATCAAACTGGCGCGCGCAAGACCATCGCAAACCACGCACCGTTGAAGGATACCTCCCGTAGTAAAGCAACCGCCCACAGCCCTCCAGAGGACCTTCGCCATGCACCGGCGCGAACGACAGACGACAGGCCAGCAAACAGAGCCGCGGTCGCCACGGGTGAGTTTCAGCAGCCCACGCCTGGAGGCCACGACCACCGACAAATAGGGCAACCTGTAAACGATCCACCCCGACAAAACGGCAAACCCGCAGCGCAGAGCAACGCGTTTGGGGCGCGGCGGGCCAAATCTCGTCGCAACACCGTCTTCGAATACTTGATTCGACGACGCCTTCAATCCGAAGATACGCGCAGTCCGGCACGACGGCGTCTCGAGCAAAAACCAGGGCCCAGCGCGGCCACTGCTCGCGCAAACCTCTGGTCTCTGCGCATTCGCACGTCCATTTTGGCTTTCGCGCGTTGAGCGCCGCTCGACGCGTGGCGCCCTGTGTCCTTCACTCGCGCGGAACGTGTGTGTTTTTTTTTCTACCTTGGCACGGAAATACTACTGGCATCCGCTGGCGTTTGCCGCGCGCGTCGAAGAGGGCGATGTTTCGGCGTGAAACGCGCGTCCCCGCATGCTTTGCGATTTGTCCCGCGGCAGCGGTGTGGCGTCCTGTGTCCTGCCTCAACTCGCGCGCAGCGCGAAGATTTTTTGTCCCTGACTCAGTATCGCTGCTGGCCCCCGACGGCGTTTGTCTCGCGCGTCGAACGGGGACGATGTTCCGTCGCGAAACGCGCGGCCCCGCGTTCCCCTCGCGCGCGGCGCGCGAGCGATTTTTTCCTGGAGAAACGGCGCCCCGCGCTCTCAGCCCGCGCGGGGCGCGACAAATACCAACGGCTGCGGCGACCGGCGTCGTTAAATCGCGCGCAGCGCGAAATGCTTCCGCGCTCGTCTTAGAACCGCTGCTGGCATCCGCCGGCGCTTGCCACGACGTCGAGGAGGGCGATGTTCCGCCGCGAAATGCGCGGCCGCGCGCCCCTGTTTCGCGCGGAGCGATATTTTTCCCAACCATCCTGTGGTGTTGGGTCCTCGTTATGAAGAGACAGCGCCCCGCGTCCCACCTTCCTTCCTCCTCCTCCCCCTCCTCCTCCTCCTCCTCCTCCCCCTCCTCCCTCCTCCCCATCCTTGCCTCTGCTCTCGGCACACCTCTCACACGTTCCGTTGCCCCATACGGAGCTCCGCCGATGCCCACAATGGGGGGGGTCGCATGCGGTTCCCCCACCCAGGGCAGCGCTTCGTGGCCCCATAGGGAGCTCCACCGAAGGCCCCAGTGGCTGCTCTCGCATGCGGTTCCCCCACCCAGGGCAGCGCTTCGTGGCCCCATAGGGAGCACCGCCGATGGCCCAAGTGGGGGGGTCGCACGCGGTCCCCCCACCCAGGGCAACGCTTCGTGGCCCCATAGGGAGCTCCACCGAAGGCCCCAGTGGGGGGGGGGGTCGCATGCGGTTCCCCCACCCAGGGCAGCGCTTCGTGGCCCCATAGGGAGCCCCACCGAAGGCCCCAATTGTGGTGCTCGCATGCGGTCCCCCCACCCAGGGCAGCGCTTCGTGGCTCCATAGGGAGCACCGCCGATGGCCCCAGTGGGGGGGGGGTCGCATGCGGTTCCCCCGCCCAGGGCACCGTTTCGTTGCCCTATAGTGAGCTCCAATGAAAGGCCCAGTGGCTGCTCACGCATGCGGTTCCCCCACCTGGGGCAACGTTTCGTGGCCCCATAGGGAGCTCCGCCGATGGCCCCAGCGGGGGGGGGTGTCGCATGCGGTCCCCCCACCCAGGGCAGCGCTTCGTGGCCCCATAGGGAGCTCCGCCGATGGCACCAACGGAGGGGGGTCGCATGCGGTTCCCCCACCCAGGGCACCGTTTCAGGGTCATATAAGGAGCTCCACCGAAGGCCCCAGTGGCTGCTCACGCATGCGGTTCCCCCCACCCAGGGCAACGCTTCGTGGCCCCATAGGGAGCTCCGCCGATGGCCCCAGTCGCCCAGGGCAGCGCTTCATGGCCCCATAGGGAGCTCCGCCGATGGCCCCAGTGGCGCAGTTCGCATGCGGTTCCCCCGCCCAGGGCAGCGTTTCGTGACCCTATTATAGGGGGCTCCCCCGAAGCCCCAGTGGCTGCTCTCGGATGCGGTTCCCCCACCCAGGGCAGCGCTTCGTGGCCCCATAGGAAGCTCCGCCGATGGCCCCAGCGGGGGGGGGGTCGCATGCGGTTCCCCCACGGGCAGCGCTCCGTGGCCCCATAAAGAGCTCCGCCGATGGCCCCAGTGGGGGAGTTCGCATGCGGTTCCCCCACCCAGGCCAACGCTTCGTGGCCCCGTAGGGAGCCCCACCGAAGGCCCCATTGGCTGCTCTCGCATGCGGTTCCCCCACGCAGGGCAGCGCTTCGTGGCCCCATAGGGAGCTCCGCCGATGGCTCCGCCGATGGCCCCAGTGGCGCAGTTCGCATGCGGTTCCCCCACGCAGGGCAGCGCTTCGTGGCCCCATAGGGAGCTCCGCCGAAGGCCCCAGTGGCGCAGTTCGCATGCGTGTCCCCCACCCAGGGCAATGTTTCGTGGCCCCATAAGGAGCTCCACCGAAGGCCTCACTGGGAGGGTCGCGTGCGGTTCCCCCACCCAGGCCAACGCTTCGTGGCCCCGTAGGGAGCCCCACCGAAGGCCCCATTGGCTGCTCTCGCATGCGGTTCCCCCACGCAGGCCAACGCTTCGTGGCCCCGTAGGGAGCCCCACCGAAGGCCCCATTGGCTGCTCTCGCATGCGGTTCCCCCACGCAGGGCAGCGCTTCGTGGCCCCATAGGGAGCTCCGCCGATGGCTCCGCCGATGGCCCCAGTGGCGCAGTTCGCATGCGGTTCCCCCACGCAGGGCAGCGCTTCGTGGCCCCATAGGGAGCTCCGCC